CCAATCATATTATTCCAGCTAAGCCACCCCGTGAACAGTAAAAGTTATGCCCGTGCGTGTAGCAAAGCTCCCTCTGCCCCCCCTTTCCTTCGGCGGCTGCTCCTCTCTCTCTCTCTCTCCCTCTCTGTCGCTGCGGCTCTCGCGACTCATCCTCCCCATCCCAAAACCCTCGAAAAGCAAAGGCGGCGGCGCGACATGGCAGAGGTCGAAGCTGCGCTCCCGGTGGCGGCGACAGAGACCCCGGAGGTCGCGGCCGAGGGCGACGCGGGTGCGGCCGAGGCGAAGGGGCCGCACAAGCTGCAGCGGCAGTGGACCTTCTGGTACGACATCCAGACCAAGCCCAAGCCCGGCGCCGCCTGGGGCACCTCGCTCAAAAAGGGCTACACCTTCGACACCGTCGAAGAGTTCTGGTGGTACGTGTGCGCGCTCCTCTCGCGCTTCCTCACCCGATCCGCTCAGATCTGATCCAGTCATTTAGATGTTCTGCTGGTTCCTGTTCCCAGTGGCTACGTGATGGGGATTTTTGGCCGACAATATCGAGTTATATATGCCACCTTGCCCAACAAATCCGAAAAGTATAAGTTGTTAGGTTGTTCTGAAGATACCTGTTGATTTGTATGACTAAGTGCTACAAATTTGAGATGTTGTTACTGCTGGTGGGTCGAGGTCGGATTGCTTTTGGACAATCTTGTTTTGTTGTATGCCTAGCTCTCATATCTTGGGAGGGTCTTGTGGGGCGTTTTTAGCATTGGTCAGAACTTTGTTGTATGTTGGAATGATGCATATATGATACTATTTGGCACTGTAGCTGATAAAGGATTATTTCGTTGCTATCAACAGTCCCTTGGACTTTTAACATTTTATATACACGTTGAACTTTTCCTATGTACTTTTCAATTTAAATCAACTTTAGGTACTAATATTCGTATATTCCCACTTGAGCATGACAAGTTTTATGTATAGTTTCTTCTCCAACTTCCTCCTGAGTATATTGTGGAAGGAAAATCTTCCTACGAGTAAGAATAATATGGTTCTGTTTGGCGAATAAGAAATCTCAACATATGTACACGAGACTTAAGTGTTGTTTATATTAAGTTTGCATGTGTCATTATTTGTATGTTGAGATAAACAAACATTTGCTGTTTTTAATTGAATATAAAGATTCCTAGATTTTTTGATAGTTGGACACCATTGCTTGAGCTCAGTCTCCGGCTCTCCGCCATTTCATTGTTTCTTTCTGTTTCTTACTTCGTTCCTTTAGGCACCCTTTACTCGTTGGTGCTTCCTTTATGGGAATAAGGGAAAACCCTATATTACTAAATAGCAATAATAATCTTACAGTACAAAACACATTTTGGTTTGTTTATGGACCAATCCATCGCAACATATATTTTCAGATACAAACATGACCATAAGACCAGTAATGTATAATCATATTTGAGGAGTAGCAGTATCAAATGCACTTGATAACGTTGTGCAGTAAAGTGAAATCAAAATTCTGTTTTCTGTTATGCTAAACTTCTTCTACTGCAGCATTTCTTCCTATTTTCTCTTGAACAGTTTGACTATGATTATGCTATATGTTTCTACATTGTAAAATTCCTTCTTTAACTTACGCCTTCCTGGTTTTGTCGGCAGCTTGTATGATCAGATTTTCCGTCCGAGTAAGCTGGTAGGAAGTGCTGATTTTCATTTATTCAAGGCTGGGGTAGAACCAAAGTGGGAAGATCCAGAGTGCGCAAATGGGGGCAAATGGACTGTGATATCTAGCAGGAAGGCCAATCTTGATACCATGTGGCTTGAAACGGTAAATTTCTGTAATATTAATATTTTATTTCTCCGAGGTGCTTAGATCTACCATAGCATCGCATGCTTTATCTGGGTTCGTAAGTCCCTACCAGCGGAATCCTTTTGACTAACCTTGTAAACTTGCAGTGTATGGCTCTGATTGGAGAGCAGTTTGATGAAAGCCAGGAAATTTGTGGTGTTGTTGCTAGTGTCCGCCAGAGACAGGATAAGCTTTCATTATGGACTAAGACTGCCAGTAACGAAGCTGTTCAGGTTTGTTTTGGGAACAAAAACATTTTGCAAATCAGCCTCACCGATGTTGTTTTTTGCACATTCTAATGTATTGGTTGAAATGTTGATGGGGATAGTAGCCCAGTGCTTCCTCACCTCTTGTAGAGTCCACAATCAACATGCATCTAGTTTTGTGGATTATTTTAGGGAAAATTTTAAACAAACGAGCACTCTACAGACCACAGTTCTGATGCATGAAACAGACCAAAAGCTTAATTACAAATTGTAAATAACCCACTATATGGCAAAGCAAAGTATTGATTGGACAACCAACTTTACTGGTCCATGAAGCAGAAAAAGCCTTCTATTCAATTGACAAAAGGTCACTCTTCATATCTCTTGGAAGTGAAAACAATTTAGTTCCGAAGGAAAAAAAGAACTATATTATTCTACTCAATGCTGTTTAGCTGCAGCCTGCAGGGATGGTACCAGTCAATTGTGTTGGCAAGGCTAGTCTTTGTGGTGCTGCACTGATGTTACCTGTGTCTGTCATGCAATGTGTTTACAAGTAGTTACTGTACATTGAAACACTCTAGACTATAGAATGTATGTATAACATGAACATGCATTGGAAGAAGATGCTCTTAAGTTTTTATTTTCACTAGGAAAAGCACTAAAGGAAACATTTGGTACTCACTAGTGTACTTAATAAATTTGTTTTGTATTTAGCATCAGTTTTACAAATCCCTTTTTTTTACTTGTGTGTTTATTGAAGGACGTTCCCATGTGGGCATTTTTCATCTGTTTTGTAGTCCCTCTGTCCCAAAATGTAAGACGTTTTTTGACACTATTATAGTATCAAAAAATGCCTTACATTTTTAGACAGAGGGAGTACAATATAACTAGATCAAGCTTTAGAGATTCTCTTTCTTTCCAATGCATGCATATGTAGATAATAATATTGGGCCGCCCTTCCATTTATACAATTTGGTCCATTTGCCATGAATAACACCAAGCCCCAGGCTGCAACTTATATGTTGCTGTTTAATCATGCTGAGATGGTTGTTAATGTGTTCACCCCTTCTTTCATCATACTACAGGTAGACATTGGCAAGAAATGGAAGGAGGTGATTGACTACAATGATAAGATGGTCTACAGCTTCCACGTATGCCTCTTCTTTTTTATTGCCCAAAATTGTGCACTAGGCACTCGTAGAAAGCATTCTATGTCTGCAGCTGACTCTGTTTTGGTGTCACTCAAATGCAGGATGACTCAAGAAGTCAGAAACCAAGCAGAGGTGGACGATACACGGTGTAAGGCCGCACACATGATGAAGACTGCAGCTTGGAAAAGTGGCCGTGTAGTGTTTTACTGAGATTCGAACCGCCTCAGCTAATGTTGTTTGAGGCAATTTTCCAATCTACTATGTCGTTTTGCTCTCTGATTGCTTGTGGTATGCAGAGATGTTGTATGCACTAAATTTTCCTCGCAATATCCCTTGATTTTAACAATCCAGAGGAGGAACCCCGCCTCGTGTGGGAAGTGGGATGCATTATCACTGTTTTAAGCATATATTTGCCTTGTTCAAGACTTACGTATTGGCTGTTTAGTCCACATTTGTGGGTTTCGAAAAGCTGGCAGGAAAAAAAAGAATTTTGCGGTTCTAAGTTGATGAGACTGTGTTCCATACATGTCCAACCAAATTAAGTCTGCATAATCTGTTTCCACGTGCAATCTTCCTTTCCTCGTTACCCTCCTATCAATATTTCATGCTTAGATCTAATTTGTTTTTGTACCTTTGATCTTGCCCAATGATACCTTTTACGTTTGAGGAAGTGGAAGTAAGATGTGGCTGTTTAGATGCCGGTCATTGTTGATGATTGGTATCATCTGGCTTGTGAGTTCAGCTCTATAGTCTTTGAATATTGTTGAATGTGGTTGCACAAGAATTAGCTAGGATTGCTAGAATTTTGATTTGTAAAGAGTGGTTAGGTAATGCTCCTTCTGACCTTCCCCTCCTACGTAAAGATGTAAGGGCATGTACAATGGTACTATCTTAAGAGTGCCACGTAGGATATATGGTGAGGTGGAGGAGAGAGAACTCATAAGAAAAGGCTTGTCTTCTCTTATTTAAGATAAGACAAGAGATGATCTCTTAGCACAATATGTCTCACCATGTTTTTAGGAATAGCTAATTATTGAAGATAAGGCTAAGAGATGACCCATTGTAGACAAATTTTTTTGTCATCTCTAAATTACATACAAAACTTAAGATAAGACTATCTTATCAACCATTGTACATGCCCTAAGCTTGCTCACCAATGAATAGAGAGGAAGTAAAGCTGTCAAAAAAAGAAAAAGAAAAAGAAAAAAGAGTGAAAGTATGATCTTGCCCTGCGTCGGTGTGCTCCTACGCTCTGCGGTCACAAGGTCGCATGCTTCTCCCACCATGCATGTCCCATTTATACACGCACTGACTTGAAGCTCACTCACGCACGGCTTCACCCTGGCACAAGGAACACCGATGGATGCGTCACCGCGAACCACCCCTACGTCGACGTCTCAATTCACCGCTTGCTTCACCCACGGTCTTCTTCCCGCAGCACGTTCCTGTCCACCATTTCCTTCTCCTTTTCCGCATTTTCCATCCATCACGCAGGTCCTTTTTGCTTCAAGAACACTGCGGCATTTTCCATCGCACCTAAACAAAGAAAGAAACACCAGACGCAGGGCTTGCTATGCAAGCGATCGATCCACGCTGTGCTGCCTTGCCTTGGCTTGTGCTCTAATCAAACCCGGACTCTCCACCCCACGGTTGGTGACGGACGCCGCCCTGCCACCTTACCGCGCCATCTAAGCTATATCACCTCTTAGCCTCCTCCTCCATGTCCCTTCACCGATACCTCACCCCTCCACCACCAGACCATCATCACCCCCACCGCCACCTTGCGCGGCACCGTCGCAGTGTCGCGCACCAGCCATGGACACCGGCGAGCCCAAGGCCAAGGCCGCCAAGGTGTGCCGCGCGTGCGGCGACGATGTCGGGACGCGGGAGGACGGCAGCCCGTTCGTGGCGTGCGCCGAGTGCGGGTTCCCCGTGTGCCGGCCGTGCTACGAGTACGAGCGCAGCGACGGCACGCAGTGCTGCCCCCAGTGCAACACCCGCTACAAGCGCCACAAAGGTACTGTATCTGCCATGTTATGTACCCACATTGGCTCGTAAACGGCCAGTTCATGCCACGGTTCATCACAACTGGGCACATTCTGACGGAATCTACTGTCGCAGGTTGCCCGAGGGTGGAAGGGGACGAAGAGGACGGCGACATGGACGACTTAGAAGACGAGTTTCAGGTTAAGAGCCCCAAGAAGCCTCACGAGCCTGTCCCGTTCGACGTCTACTCGGTGAGATCGCTGTGCAATGTTTACTGGAGTCCATTTTTGAACAAACCAACCGAGCCAACCGTTTTTGTGAACTGACGCGACGCTTGCCTTGCAGGAGAACGGCGAGCAGCCGCCGCAGAAGTGGCGCTCTGGTGGCCCGGCGATGTCCTCCTTCGGCGGAAGCGGTCAGTGCAGAACACAACACCTCTTTTTTCTTCTTCTTCTTGTTGCTGCATGAGAGTGATCTGAAGAACTGAAGAGGAGTTCGTGTGGTGTGTGTTGATTTTGCAGTGGCTGGCAAGGAGCTTGAGGCGGAGCGGGAGATGGAGGGGAGCATGGAGTGGAAGGAGAGGATCGACAAGTGGAAGACCAAGCAGGAGAAGAGGGGCAAGCTCAACCGCGACAACAGCGACGACGACGACGACGACAAGAACGACGACGAGTACATGCTGTAAGCCCCCACCGTCGCCAAAGTTCAGTTCGAATTCGCTGACCAACAACGTAGTACACTAGTACGTGGTACTCATCGCGCGCCGAAATGAAAATGGATCTATGGCGCAGGCTGGCGGAGGCGCGTCAGCCGCTGTGGCGCAAGCTGCCGGTGCCGTCGAGCCAGATCAACCCGTACCGCATCGTCATCGTGCTCCGCCTGGTGGTGCTCTGCTTCTTCCTCCGCTTCCGGATCATGACGCCGGCCAACGACGCCATCCCGCTGTGGCTGGTGTCCGTCATCTGCGAGCTCTGGTTCGCGCTCTCCTGGATCCTGGACCAGCTGCCCAAGTGGTCGCCGGTGACCCGGGAGACGTACCTGGACCGGCTGGCCCTCCGGTACGACCGCGAGGGCGAGCCGTCCCGGCTGTCCCCCATCGACTTCTTCGTGAGCACGGTGGACCCGCTCAAGGAGCCCCCCATCATCACGGCCAACACCGTGCTCTCCATCCTCGCCGTGGACTACCCCGTGGACCGCAACAGCTGCTACGTCTCCGACGACGGCGCCTCCATGCTCTGCTTCGACACCCTCTCCGAGACGGCCGAGTTCGCGCGCCGCTGGGTGCCCTTCTGCAAGAAGTTCGCCATCGAGCCCCGCGCCCCCGAGTTCTACTTCTCCCAGAAGATCGACTACCTCAAGGACAAGGTGCAGCCGACGTTCGTCAAGGAGCGCCGCGCCATGAAGCGCGAGTACGAGGAGTTCAAGGTGCGGATCAACGGCCTGGTGGCCAAGGCCGAGAAGAAGCCCGAGGAAGGGTGGGTGATGCAGGACGGCACGCCCTGGCCCGGGAACAACACCAGGGACCACCCCGGGATGATCCAGGTGTACCTGGGCAGCCAGGGCGCGCTGGACGTGGAGGGCCACGAGCTGCCCCGGCTGGTCTACGTGTCCCGTGAGAAGCGGCCCGGCCACAACCACCACAAGAAGGCCGGCGCCATGAACGCGCTGGTGCGGGTGTCGGCGGTGCTCACCAACGCGCCCTTCATCCTCAACCTCGACTGCGACCACTACGTGAACAACAGCAAGGCCGTCCGCGAGGCCATGTGCTTCCTCATGGACCCGCAGCTCGGCAAGAAGCTCTGCTACGTCCAGTTCCCGCAGCGCTTCGACGGCATCGACCTCCACGACCGTTACGCCAACCGCAACGTCGTCTTCTTCGACGTAACACCCCATCCTCCCTCCCTCCCTCCATCTGACACTTCGTGTTTCACTCCGGCGTTGGCCTGAGCTGATTGATGATGTGGTGTGGCGTTGCGATTGCAGATCAACATGAAGGGGCTGGACGGCATACAGGGCCCGGTGTACGTTGGCACGGGGTGCGTGTTCAACAGGCAGGCGCTGTACGGGTACGACCCGCCGCGGCCGGAGAAGAGGCCGAAGATGACGTGCGACTGCTGGCCGTCGTGGTGCTGCTGCTGCTGCTGCTTCGGCGGAGGGAAGCACCGCAAGTCAAACAAGGAGAAGAAGGGCGGCGGCGGCGACGACGAGCCGCGGCGCGGGCTCCTGGGGTTCTACAAGAAGCGGGGCAAGAAGGACAAGCTCGGCGGCGGGCCGAAGAAGGGGTCGTACAGGAAGCAGCAGCGCGGGTACGAGCTGGAGGAGATCGAGGAGGGCATCGAGGGGTACGACGAGCTGGAGCGCTCGTCGCTCATGTCGCAGAAGAGCTTCCAGAAGCGGTTCGGGCAGTCGCCGGTGTTCATCGCCTCCACGCTCGTCGAGGACGGCGGATTGCCGCAGGGCGCCGCCGCCGACCCCGCCGGCCTCATCAAGGAGGCCATCCACGTCATCAGCTGCGGGTACGAGGAGAAGACCGAGTGGGGCAAAGAGGTAAATCGTTCAGTATTTAGTTGCTAGTTGCTCACTGTAAAATTTCTTAAGATAGAAAATTTTAAAAAAAGTGCACCAGCCGGGAATCGAACCCGGGTCTGTACCGTGGCAGGGTACTATTCTACCACTAGACCACTGGTGCCTGGACGAGCTCTTGCCATTCGTGATCGTGTCATTCTCATTGATAAGTTTTGCCTAACAATCCATTTAATTTCTGGCGTGAAAATTATGCAGATTGGGTGGATCTACGGGTCGGTGACAGAGGACATCCTGACGGGGTTCAAGATGCACTGCCGTGGGTGGAAGTCTGTCTACTGCACGCCCACGCGGCCAGCGTTCAAGGGATCGGCGCCCATCAACTTGTCGGACAGGCTTCACCAGGTGCTCCGGTGGGCGCTCGGCTCCGTCGAGATCTTCATGAGTCGCCACTGCCCGCTCTGGTACGCCTACGGCGGCCGTCTCAAGTGGCTCGAGCGCTTCGCCTACACCAACACCATCGTCTACCCCTTCACCTCCATTCCCCTCATTGCCTACTGCACCATCCCCGCCGTCTGCCTCCTCACCGGCAAGTTCATCATCCCCACGGTAAGCGCTCATCACTTCTTTCAAGCAAGCTGTGGTCTGCCAGCTTTGGCAAGCAAGTGATCGGTTGGTGACCGTGCGTGGGTGTTGTGCAGCTCAACAACCTGGCGAGCATCTGGTTCATCGCCCTGTTCATGTCCATCATCGCGACGGGGGTGCTGGAGCTCCGGTGGAGCGGGGTGAGCATCGAGGACTGGTGGCGTAACGAGCAGTTCTGGGTCATCGGCGGCGTGTCGGCGCACCTGTTCGCCGTCTTCCAGGGCTTCCTCAAGGTGCTGGGCGGCGTGGACACCAACTTCACCGTCACCTCCAAGGCGGGCGCCGACGAGGCCGACGCCTTCGGCGACCTCTACCTCTTCAAGTGGACAACCCTGCTGATCCCACCCACCACGCTCATCATCATCAACATGGTCGGCATCGTCGCCGGCGTCTCCGACGCCGTCAACAACGGGTACGGGTCCTGGGGCCCGCTCTTTGGGAAGCTCTTCTTCTCCTTCTGGGTCATCGTCCACCTCTACCCGTTCCTCAAGGGGCTCATGGGGAGGCAGAACCGGACACCCACCATCGTTGTGCTCTGGTCTGTCCTGCTCGCCTCCATCTTCTCCCTTGTGTGGGTCAGGATCGACCCCTTCATTGCCAAGCCCAAGGGACCCATCCTTAAGCCGTGTGGAGTACAGTGCTGATTGGCCTTAGTTATCAATGGCTCGCACACATTGCGCTTTTGGGGCGGTTCATATTTGACTTGCTTATTTTGTACAAGTTTTGCAAGCGAGATAAAGTGTTGATTCAGGGGGTTTCAAGTTGTAAGAATTTCTTCAGGACATTATATTGAAATGGAAGGACACTGTTTCTGCATCTCTATCGTTATGAGCATAATTTATTTGATGCCAAAAGTTGGTAACTGCCAAATGTTGTAGAGATTGGTTCCTTGCCAATTTTCGTTGCCAATCTCATAAAAGATCGGAAATGTTAACGCCCACACGTGTGGGCGTTAGCCATCTCAACCACACGCCTCCATCGCCGTCCAGCAGTCTCTGCACGAATCTTGGCACGTTTGGCCTGATTTTGTGTACCATGTAGGATAAGGCGCGTGTGTGGTGTGTGACATAGTTCGCCCACACGCCGGTTGCCTCCCCGCGGTTAGCGGTTGCCACTCGGGGGCGTGCGGTGGAACTGCTCTGCGCCCGCACGCCACGCCCGACCGTGGTTGCCGTCAAACACGTCGCGCACTTTGCCCCCCCTCCCCTCACGGTTCCATTTACTCCTCCCCTCAGTTACTCGCACAACCCATCCCGCAGTTCAGTCGATTGGAGGAGAAGACAAGAGGAGAAGACGACGGCGGAGGCGGAAGAGTCGACGACATTCGCGGCCATCGGTGGGACTCGCCGGACTAGAGCGTCTTCGCCGGAGCGCCTGCAGATTGAAGGTAATGCTCCCTCCCACGCTCAAAATCCTTGCCTGCATTTATCCCCTCCCCTCCGTGGTCGATGCTTCGCTCGAGATTCATCGAGATTCAGGCGGGTTAGCGATGCGCCGGCGTTCCCGCCGGCGGCGGAGTCTTGTGCTTGCCGTTTTCGGTGGCATTGAGCAGTTTCGTCGCTGCCGCGGTGGCGGTCACGCCGGTGTGGTTCGGCCTGTCCGGAGCCACATCCTGGTTGTGCCTTGGGATTGGGCCGTCGTTTTTCTGTCCGATAGTTGCGCATTGCCTCGAAATGCTATTTGCGATCAGTGCAGGGAGAATTTTGTTGATGAATTTCAAGTTATGATAGTTGCCATTGAACCCTAGATCTAGGTAGTTATTTTTCAAAGTGCAGTATGAATGCAAACATGGTAGTTTGAGTAACTATCTGCACCGCAACGGTGGAGCTATGTAGAGAGCTGAGGGGGCCGTGGCCCCCCCCAGCCCAGATGAATATTTTTTTACCAGGTAGTAGTATTGTAGGCCCATCAAGCCATGCACGTACACTTCAGGCACACAGAGGGCAACCTACTTCCGCTTCCACTGTTCGTCTCAATTCATGAACCAGCCAACCTGCCGCCATGCCGCTGCATTCGCTCGACGCGCCCAAGCCCATAACAGCTCACCCTGATCCACGCGCTCTGTCGGTGAACATCCCGGTGTTAAGGAGGGAGGAACAAGGGCGTGCCTCAGCCCTTTGACCGTCGTCTCCTGCTCTTTGCCACTGGCCTCGCCGGTCCAGTGCCTATCCACGTCGGCCGGCCGGCTGGCCAGCCGGCCGCCCATCGTCACCGTCCACCCCTCCAAAAACAAATTTGCAAGCGCTCTGTGCGGCTAGGCCCACCCATAAATCGTGTTGCGTATGTACGAATAGGACAGTGAAATTAGGAAAACAGGGGCATCACTAAACTTTGGAATTTCTTGTTGTTTCTTGTATGAGTTTGATTAGTAATTTAGCAATTAGTATGCATATTTATCTGATCTAATTGGGGATTTATTGTTCCTTGCATCACAAATTTGCATTTGTTCTTCTCAGTAGACAGATCAAGTGACCATGGTTAAGGGCAGCAACGGCAAACCAGATTCGATCATTAAAAACACTAGGTAGAGTTCTCACGTTGGTTGTATTCATAGTCTTATGAAGTTGTTTAACGCGATAGATTTTGTTATCCAAGATATAGCTGCTGATAGATCATCGCTGCCACCAATATGCATAAGTATAAATTTGCTTCAAGGCTACAAGTTCTAGCTTGTTGCGGTTGGTTAATTTTTGTTTTGTCATTGGCCCCCCCATATATTCTTGTCAAGCTCCGCCACTGCTGCACCATATGGCAACTAATTTTCTGATCGACTGTGATAGTTGTCACAAATATGTTTTTCATGTGGCAACTAATTTCGTGCACATGCTATGGCTGTTGCCACGCTGTAGGCATGGTAAAGTGTAGTAAATAGGTAGTCATGGCAGTTTCAGCAACTATGTGCACTGGATGGCAACTAATTTCCAATCAACTGTGTCAGTTGCCACATATATGCTTTCCATGTAGCAAGTATTTCTGTGAACACACTATGGCTGTTGCCATGTTGTAGGCAGGATAATGTGGCAAATTCACTGTACTACAAACCCAAATTTGTGTTTTGCCACGCTGACTTGTGGCAGCTGACAGGATAATGTGGCATGGTAAAGTGTAGTAACTTGGTAGTCATGTCAGTTTTAGCAACTATGTGCACTGGATGGCAACTAATTTCCACATCAACTGTGTCAGTTGCCACATATATGCTTTCTATGTGGCAAGTATTTCTGTGAACACAACATGACTGTTGCCATGTTGTAGGCAGGATAATGTGGCAAATTCACTGTACTGCAGACCCAGTTTCGTGTTTTGCCACGCTGACTTATGATATCTGAACATATTTGGCCGTACTAAATGGCAACTCATTTTTAATATGAGGTCAGTGCGTGCATTGCAATTTCAGGTTGTTCAGTAGATGTTTTTCAACGCTTTTTTGAATTTGTGTTGCATTTTAACATGGAAATTTCAACCTAGCACATTTTGCCTTTGAACACATGGCAACTCATTTTTGTATGAGGACAGGGTGTGAGTTGCCACATTTTATGTTTGTGCAGTGGAAGATTTGTGCCTTTCTTTCGTAATATCTTGTGCTAACATGGCAACTTCAATATTTTGTTTTAAGTGCATTACGATCTGTACATTTTTCAAATGAAGCCAATGTGTTTAATTGCCACATTTATGTTTTCGACAATCATAGGGGTGCATGTGTGTTCATGTGATATTTGCTTTCACTATTTGCCATTTCAATTGAGCCCATGTGGCAAGCACATTCTGTTAGGTGGCAACTGCTTACTTCATACATTTCATTTCCACCCTGACAATTTGGTTTGTTCTTACCTCAGCAGAATGGCTCGCGGCGATCATCAAAACGATGATGATGATTTCATGGATGCACCGCAGCAGAATCGGACAACTGGACGGAGAAAAGACGGCGATGAGGTAACTGTCCACCCCATCCTCCCCCTCCATATGTTTTTGGATGCCACATCGAGCTTGCAATCGTCTGTTATGAACTAAATTTTCATGATAGTGAAAACATGGAAACAAATGATCATTTGTCTGTTTTGTAGAAGAAGAAACATACTCGCAATAGGGCTTCGCAGGAACGCCTGACTTCATTGACCGACAGATTTACCGACGATCAGAAGGGAGCTGCTGCTGAGATGGGTATGCAGGCTCTGATGGATGTCCGGTGCAAGAATCTAGTGAACCCTGTATGCGACTGGCTTGGTGAGATTGACGACCTCGCCTCCAGGGAATTTGTGATTCCGGGACGTGGAAGACTGCCGTTGGACGAGGAATCCGTGTTCTGCACTTTGGGTGTGCCCCGTGGAGAAATCAAAGTCCCGTATGAGGTCAATAATAAGATCGAGGAAACATTGTTTCCCCATTTGTTTCCTGGGTTGGAATCCATGCCGAACACGACTTTCCTGGCAGATTCGCTGCAGGCCATGACAACCCATGGCGAGGTTTTTAAGATGAAGCTACTCATGTACCTCATCTCAGCTGTTTTCACACTGACCACTTCTCTTCGCCCAAGCAACAAATGCTTCCCCATCCTGGTGAATGATCTATCTATACTCCTTTATTTCCTTCAATCTTTTGGCTCTGATGTCATATGTGTAAGCTAGTCACTGCCAGTTTTTTTGATGTTTTTCCATTTGATTTCTGATGCGGCAACTTGTTGTCCTGAAATTTGTGCCGTGCAGGTGAAACTAAAATATGTGAAGAACATGAATTGGTGTAAGTTCATTGCCGACTTCCTGCATGATGCATTCTCAAACAAGATGTACTAGAAGGGTTGTCGACTACATTTAATGGTATTTTTTTACCAGTCCTTTTTGTGAACACTCTTTAACACCTTTATTTATGCATGGCAACCATGATGATGACATCGTGGCAACTAACATCATAACAAGATGGTAACTGCCATCATACCATGATGGCAACTAACACAGACAGATGGCAACTTCTTTTTTTTCATGCACTTCAACTTGATGATTGTAGGAACATATATTAGCTTGTTTTTGTAAAATACCATGATGGCAATTGATATTTTTTCCTTTTTAAATTGTTGTACATCAGCTCATGTACGTCGACTGTCTTGATCTGTCCACCGTGGACTACACTGGGACAGGAGGCCCGCCGCCCACACACAAGTTTGCTGTTTCTGCATGGACTTACGATGCTGTCAAGGCTGTGCGTGCTGCAGATAGGGTAACTGATACGAAATATGGGAAACTGCAGGTTAATTCTGGTTTCTTTCTCTACACGACATTCTTACAATTTTTTGCTGCATAACATATAAAAAATCCTCATGTGGCAACCGTCTGTGGCTAATAAGAGATGACTACCGTGTTAGCCATGGCTGTCTGTGCATGGTATCCATGTCTCACTCCACATGGCAACTCTGTCATCCGTGCTGAAACTTCTATTCTCTTCCTCTTTTTTTGTTTTATTTGCAATACATGAACTGTTAGTTAGTGTTCATCATTTTCTCTCTTACTAGCTATTTTTGGTTATTTCCAGCTGATGGCCAAGCATGTTATAGACTACATCATGTTTGGGGGACCTCAAAACTTTGGAAAGTGGATGAACGTGCACTCAGCCCCGTCTTGCCCTACTGAGGTAATCAAGGATATATATTTATGGT